GCTGGGTGGCTTGAGTTCATTATATCATTTCTCATCAGTAAAATGGGGGCAATGACATCTTGATTATTGTGTAAATTAGTGGAAGCTGTGATTGCCATTATGCATGTAGCAAAACAAAGTGGTCATGAAAGGTATACAGCTGTGTACCCAGGGGAAACACATGTTCAGACCATACAAATCCACAGACCCAGAAAGCCTCAGCCCAATTCTTCACAAAATTGTACTTTCTCCTCCTAACTCTTCATTTTCTGCTCAAGTTTTCTATTGAATTGGACCTGTGCATGGAATCTGTTCTTTGGATTTTGCACTATTTCCTTGAGATTTACGCTACTGCCAAAAATACTGTAGTGCTGCTCTACAGTGGGTGTACTGATTGTGTTAACTGAGGGCTGACATGAAAGTTTCAGGTCTTTCTCATAGACACAGAGAGAGGTCTGGTGGTTGCCAGAGGGGAGTTGGTTTGGGGTTTGGGTGGAAGAAGTGAAGGGATTAAGTACAAAATGGCACGGGGATGTGAAGTACAGCATAGGGAATACAGTCAATAATATTGTAATAACTATGTGTGGTACTAGTTGGTAGGGAATATCAAGGGGAACACTATGTAAAGTATATGATTGTCTAACCACTAAGCTAAAACCAAAACAAAATAATATTGAAAGTAAACTATAATTGAAAAATAAAACTTTTTCTAAAAAAAGAAAGTTTCAGATCTTTGAAGCTTCTCTTAACAAATTAGTCTCAACCCCAAAAGTCAAGGTTATGATGGAAATCAATCCCAGCCTAACTTAGAGCAACCAGAAATGCTGAAATGGTTGCTTTAACTGATGAGCTTTCTTTGGAACGGAGACAAATCCTTATACTGTGGACAGAGGCTCAGTAACTGTGACGGGGAGGATGATTTGGGAAGGAAGTGTTTGCTATGTTAATGAGTAATGTGCCCACTTATTTCCTTGGATATGAAAATAAATTATAAGAAAATGTGTACATTTTCTATCATTGTAGCATTTGTCTCTTTATTTCTTAATTAAGGAAAAAAGAAGAAACACAGTAACAATAAAAAATAACGACAATCCAAAAATTACTTATATTTGGCCTTGGTATTTGCTTTGCATTTACATTTTAATATGTGCCTGAAGTTCTGCCTGAAATTTTGCTTTTTACCAAATAAGGAAGCTTTCCCCTACACCCTCCCCCCAAATTAAGCTAGGGAAGAACAGGAAACGCTTAGGAGGGGCTAAGAAGCTGCTCCACTTTCCTGTCCTGCCTTGGGTCCAGATGCTCCCCGGCCCCTCAGACAACTCAGAAATAGATAACTTCTTTCAGACTGAAGCTAGCCAAGCAGAACTGCCTGCTCCCACTCCCTTCTCTTTCAAATGTTCCAACTTCTGCTTCAGAGGAAATTGTTAAACAGACTGCGAGATGCAAATACCTAACGTAAACAGAGATGATGCTGTGACAAAAAACTGAAAAGCAAGATTCGCTCCAGGTATTTCATGATCGATGTGGCACAGCTTTGTGGACTATTGGAAACATGCGTTGCATTTTCTGACCACTCCATCACTACTTGAGCACCCCTATGGGGCATTTTAGCACTCCATGCAGGCTTTAACGAGCTCGAGCACGTGTATAATAAATGTTGACTCTGACATTCAATTTCGACTCAGCTTTTAAAATGGCATTAAATATAACTAATGCAATTTCTTTCTCACCTCAGGTTTGATTTTTTTTTGTATTTCATTTGTAAGTTTTACCACTAAAAACGAGATTTTCTTTTAGATCATACAATCTAAAGATTAAAATGCAGTTTAAAAGACTTTGTGGATAACATTACTGAAATATTTATTGTTCATAGTTTACTTTTCATTCATATCCTGAGACTTTTTTAATAGAAGAAATTTATTCAACATTTTTCACCAGAATTTAGAGTATCTCAAGATCCTAGTGTCTGGTTATATGTTGCTTAAAAAATTATTTTCTGTTAAAAATGGTATTAATAAACTATTTTGATACCTTTAACAATGTCTGAATAAATTAACTATAGTAGTTTTTTGTATATGTACCTAAATACATATATTCAGGTAATTCTTTGTGTGTACAAAATCAGTGCAAGTTTGTGAAGTGTGCCTGTGATCTGGGATGTGTAACAAAAATGTAATGTAAAGTTTCTAGTTTAAATCCAAAACTGGACTTTTTCACAAATTAACAATGGATTTGTCAGATGCTTGCTTACTGCTGGAAACTGCAGCATGATTTTCATAATGGTGACTTCCTTCTATTCCTTGACTTGCCAGCTCTGTTGAATGAGGCGGGAGAGCTCTGTGGGGTTTGGGAGTGCTGAGATGGCCCTGGGAGTCCAGTGAGTTTGTTTAGAAGGCGCATGTCTAATTTTAGGAGATGGTGATTAAATCCGAGGGAGGAAAACTGCAGCACCAGCCCTGAGGAGTTGTCTTTCTCAAAGGTCTTTTCTATTTTCCTTCCCATATTATTTATCTGTTAAAGGGAAAGCAGGGGGGAAATATCCTTGTTCCAGCTGAGCCTTCCCAATGAACCTTATTGTCCTAGATATTGTCAGGCCCCAGTCCTCTGGTACTTAAGAGAGTGAAGTGTAAGAGAATGAAACTAAGGGTATAGATTGAAATTTTGCCAGGAAATAAAAAAAAATAGATTTCTCAATAAATATAATGGCATACAGGGCTTTTCATGTACGTAGATGCATTTAAAATGTTCATAGAACATTTTAAAGAAGGTTTTCATGGAGCATCATATTCACACATTTCATTGGTTCACAACAAAATGCAAAAATGAAAGAAGAGATTTAATCACGATAAGTAATAACTGTTTCAGAATCTCCCCAATTGGCCCTGGGAACGCTGCCTCCCCAGTGCGGAGGTGCCTGTTGCTACCATTTGTCTCAGTGTCCCCACGTGATGGAGGTCGTCCAAGACATCGAAGCAAGTAACAAATCCGGACAGGGAAGAAATGGATTTGTAACCCCAAGAACCCCAGCACAGAAGCCAGAGCCTCCCTGAGTCCGCAGTGTCTGGCCGCTGTCAGCGTGGGGCTTCTGGTGCCAGGCTGTGCTGGTGCCCGGGGCTGCTCCAGAGAGGTCTGTGCACATTTGCCAGGTAACCGGGCCCAAGTCTGTCTCCTAGAAATGCACTTTACCAAAAGCGTCTACCCTACCAATTTCTAAAGTCTCCTTTGCTCTAAGAAAATGTACTTGGAGACTGCTCCTAATTTGTCTGCTTTTGTCACCAACAGGCTTCTGTCTTTTCTCCCTAATCACTGCATCTTGGGGACTGATGAGCAGAAAGATCAGATTTCAGCTGAACACGTGTTTCACTGTTTCATAGAGTAAATACCGATATATCCAAGGACCACGAGGCTGAGTTCACTGACTCGCATTAAAGCCTGCTGGGGTTGTGCTTAGTAACTGGCTATTTTCTGAGGCGAGGTAGAGCTCCTTTAAGACAAGGTCTCCCATTCTCATTAGCCCCTTATAGATAACCCATCTGACAGCCGTGGGCAAACTACGGCCCATTTGAAATGAATAAAACTATTGAAAAAAAAGGCCGTACCCTTTTATGTAATGATGTTTACTTTGAATTTATATTAGTTCACACAAACACTCCATCCATGCTTTTGTTCCGGCCCCTTCGGTTCAGTTTAAGAACCCATTGTGGCCCTCGAGTCAAAAAGTTTGCCCACCCCTGAAGCATCACCAGGCCTAGAAAAATAAATCATTCTCTAATTTTTTATTTCTTCTTCTATAGGGAAGATGGGTTGAGCTAGCTTTTTACAAAATGCAACATAAATAAATAAACTTCTTAGAAAATGTTTTTCCAACATTTTAAGTTTCTCTTTGACTTCTTGACAAATTAAAAATAAAGGACTCAATAGCACAGAAATAAAGGTCACCTACAATTGAATTAAAAGCACAGGAAATGTGCTAAGATAAGCTAATATTTTTTGTAGGTCAGAAATATGTGAGAAGGTATGGCTGTTTTATTTAGGGAGCAGTATCTTGGATCAATCTTGTAGGCAATGATATATAATAACAAAGGGAGGAAAACCCACCCAGCATTATTTACTGTATTGAAATTTTACCATTCCAAAGAGGTACCTATAATAGTGAGTATGGAAATACACTTTAACTATGGAATAATGACCAGTGTAAACACAATGTCATCATCCAGTTTTGATTTAAACATAAGTCCTGCTGGTAGTCCTGAAAAGGGTATTTCTCCTTTGCAGTGATGGGTGAAGAGGGACTTCCTTGCCCTTTCTCTCACTTCCAGCGATGATGAGGTCCCTGTGTTTGAAGTGTTTGAAGTACGGGGGTTTCCTGAGCCTGCTTTGTCTAATTGCAGATTCAATGCAAAATCCTTTCTTCATTTTACTTTGCACTTATATAAAATGTCTGTATTTTCCAAAGGACATACTTTATTATCCATATCTTATTTATACATTTAAAATATCTATACTAATAAAAGGGTAATATGCTAATTAGACTGGGTCGACTGTACACCTTCCGGATGTCTGACTTCCTTCTGGACAGTTAGGGGGCGACCAGGCCGGCAGGGTGGCAGTTAGGGGGGTAACCATGCCAGCAGGGGGGAAGTTAGAGGGCAACCAGGCTGGCAGGGGGGCGGTTAGGGGGTGATCAGGCTGGCAAGCAGAGGCAATTAGGGCTGATCAGGCAGGCAGGTGAGAGGTTAGGGGCAATCAGGTAGGCAGGTAGAATGATTAGGGGCAGTCAGGCAGACAGGCAGGTGAGTGGTGAGGAGCCAGCGGTCCCAGATTGTGAGAGGGATGTTCAACTGCCTAAACTGGCAGGGATGGGACCTAAACCAACAGGTGGACACTCCCCAAGGGGGCCCAGATTAGAGAGGGTGCAGGACGAGCTGAGGGACCACTACCCCCCCCATGCATGAATTTTGTGCACCGTGCCTCTAGTCCTATATAATAAAAGAGTAATATGCAAATAGACCGAATGGCAGAACAACCAATCAAAGCATAATATGCTAATGTTATGGTAAGGCTGCTCAATCACTCGCTATGGCATGCACTGACCACCAGGGGGCAGACAATCAACTGGTCAACCAGTTGCTATGATGTGCACTGATCACCAGAGGGCAGAAGCTCTGACCAGTAGGTTAGCTTGCTGCTGGGGTCTGGCTGATGGTGACTGAGCGAGACAGGCATGACATGCCCTGAAGCCCTCCCACGGTCCCTCCCAGTCCCGATCATGCACCAGTGGGGTCCCTCAGTCTGGCCTGTGCGCTCTTGCAATCCAGGCCCCATCGGGGGATGTTGGAGAGCCAGTTTCAGCCCTATCCTGCAGGCCACTCTCCTTGGGAGGGTGCCAGATGCAGGGCTCATGGATGGCAAGTGCTGCTGTGGCAGCATGAGTCTCTCCTGATCAGGACTGATTGGGCGAGAGCCTGCAGCAGGCACAGTGGGGCCAGGATGAGTGGGAACAGCAGTTAGGAGCTACAGGTGGCGTTGGACTGTGGGTTTCGGCCTGATCCTTGCAGGCCACCCAGATGAAACCCACCCACCCCCATGCACAAATTCGTGCACCGGGCTTCTAGTTTTATTAATGATATTTATTTTAAAAAGTACAGTAACCCAATTTGCAGCCTTTAATTCAAAAGCTTTGTTACTTATACATAACTGATTTAAAAATGTATTGGAATTATAAATTAATTTTTAAAATTTATTTTAAAATATTTGTTTAAAAAGTACAGTGACCCTTGTACACCCTTTAACTCAAAAGGTTTATTTATTTACAAATAAACTAATTTTTAAAAAACTTTTTGGCTTAGGCAGTACATGGATATGTTTTAAAATCTCTACAAAATAGAATAAAGTACTCCTGGTAAACTTACCCAGGACATAGAAATAACATAAAAGTCTAATAAAGCACACTGATTCATCTGCTCTAAATGAATTTTTCATGTTTGTTCTTTTTCTTTTTTAAAACCAGGAGAGAAATTCAGAGTAATTAATGTTAAATCAATTATTTACTTCTGAACATTTCTAAAGCTTTCTGAATAATTGGAGACAATGGTTTTAAAAATGGCTAAAGGCCTGAGACTTTTAAGCATAGATTTTGAAGCACTGTTGCTACAATTATGGAATTTGAATGTTTATGAAGCTGGAGCACTAAGCTGTTATGAAGACCACAGAAAGTTGTTTATGAATTTTATTTTCTAGCATTGTCCCTCTATTTTAATTTACAAACAAAGGAAAGTAGGATAGGCAAAGTAGTAAGTAAACATTAAAGATTTAATCTTAAAGCCATTTAAAATTGCGAAATACTAAAAAAAGCGATAGCTATATTAATAACTGTATTAAAATCATGTTTACAGTTCCATGTCATAGAATTTGTTATTCATGTTTTGAATTTTTATATATTTTTTCCATTTCAATTAGTAGTTTCACACATTGTTTTATTAAAGTCTTTATCTCTTGTGCATTTTATTCTTTTGAACATTAATGAAAGTGTTTTCAGATTTTATGTTTTTGTTAAAATTAAAATGATATTATTTAGGATTAAGCATTTTTCTTGAGAAAAATGAAAAGATTTAAGAAGGCAACAATTTTGGACAGGGTTTTGATAACAGCTGTTGGTCTAACCCAAAACTGTATAACTTCTTTAATAGGATACTTATATTCAGCAACCAAATTTAAATCACATTTTATGCTAATTTAAAGTCATGAGCTCTGGTCATTATTTTCCGATTTAAGATAGGAAAAGAGTTCTAAGGGGTTGATTTTGAAATACATTATTATATTCAGCCAGCAGGGGTCACAAAATAATATGTAATAGCTTTGGAACAGTTTATTTTTCTGGGAGAGTGCCAGTATGGCAAAATGTTTATCATATTCCCGATGATAAAAGTAAAACCACATTTCAGAAATAGGGGAAATAAAGTTTGAACTCACTTTGCAAAGTCACCAAGATTACTTAAAAAGGGAAGAAAGCAAAGATTTAAAGAAATGTTTCTGGATACAGATTTGCTTTTAGGTCTTTACAAAAATGGCTTTAACTAGTTATAAAGGACCATGTATTGTTTGGTTCTCGTTTTATTTTATGTGAACTATCCTAAGTAGGCAAACCTATAGAGAGAAGGTAGATGGTTGCCCAGGGCTGGGACTGTGGTGGGATGGAGGTTTGAATATGATGACTAAGGGGAGTAGAAGTTCTTTGAGGTAAGAAAATTCAAAAATTGTGGTGATGAATTTACAACTCGGTGAATATACTCAAAATCATTGAATTATTCACTTTCCATGATTGAATTATGGAAAGTACAAAATTATATCTCAATAAAACTGTTGGCTTTTAACATATGATACTTTAGAAATCTTATTGTGTAAATCTCCAAATTTATTTTCTAAGAGGTATTAGTGGATTTTGGAAAATCAACTATAATATGCCTTAACAATTTAAATTTTTTTAACTTATTTTTATTGTTGATACTATTACAGATGTTCCCATCCCCCCATCCCCTTTGCCCACCTTCACTTCTGTCAGGGATTTCATTTCAAACAAATATAGATTGATTTATGTTATTTCAAGTGAACTCAAAATAGTTGGTTAGAAGTCCTGGAGAGAACAAATTTGCAGGCGAGAGGAGTGCACAGGTCCAGTTTCTGAGCCAGAATTACTGCGAACCCATTGGGTGTCATTGGAGAATTAGCTTATCTTTCTGGAATCACTTTTCCTATTTGTAAAATGATTGCCTGAGCTTTCTCCCTCAGGTGCCATATTAGCTCTACAAATTACAGGGAATCTTCTCAAGCCATGGCTTATTTGTGATTTAATGAAAACTTAGAAGCCTTTCTGTTCATTTCCAGTAACCTCTGTATAATACCTACACAGTATTAGTGAGGATGGAGAAATGATTGTGCAAACATTTGCTAAGCCTGCTTTCAAAGCAGATGTTTGAACCGTTTGCCAAATTACATGGATTTGGATGTCTGAATAGAACATTACTTATATTTTAAAGTTTTAATAAAATTAGTTTTTTATTAAAAATACTTAATTAAAATTATAAGAATTTCCCAAATTGAAATTTTATGTGTAATAAATGATTTAGCCAGAAGTCAGATCCATACATATGTTGAATACATATGTAGTCTAACTTGACTTCCTAACTCAGCATATTGAAATTTGAAGAAGTGATATGTATATTTTAGACATTGGAACGTTTTCAGAGAAATGTGTTTTGAATCATAAAACATTATAGATTGATTAACTTTGCACTCTTCTTCATGAAGATCTTTCGTGGTTCACTCTTGAATTCTCTCATTTCACTGTATCTTTATACAAACAGTAATTGTAACATAGAGGCTTGTTTTCTGTTGCTCTTCAGAATTCTTTAAAGACATTGAAACAGTATCTCTCTGGGTTTCCCAAATATTGTAAATCTCTAGAAATGTCTAGCTCTCAACGAGTGCTCCAGAAACTGGGTGAAGTTTGCCTTGACCTTTTTTATGTTGCTGGTTTTAATTCAGCTCCCCAAATCCTTTCTTTTTATTGTCTTATTTCCTACCACCAGTATCCAAATATGCACGAAGAAGGTTGACAACCTCTTCAGTTTCAACTAGAAACGTTGCAAAAGCCTGAGGAAACAGCCTTCCTTGATCATTGTTCACACCTGTGTTGGTTTGCTTGCCTTTAGTTCAGCCCTGACAGTGATGGTCATTCTGCCCATCTCTGTGGAGGTTTATTTCTTTGGTGTTAAACATTTCAACTCTGAATGTGTAGAGCATCTCACATTTATAGGGAGAATCTTAGAACTGGCAAAGTACAGTATTTTGAGGCCACTTGGACAACCTCTCACCCAATAAGATGACTGCTTTCATCAAACTCATTCTGCATTGAGGATTTTTTTTTTTTGGAACAAGTAGCCACAACACTGCTTTAGAATATTGAACTGCTTTCATGTTTTTATAGGGTGGCCTCTCTTTAAACACCGATGTGCCTCTTTAGTTGTTCAAGGCTGCCCATCCAGTGCTTAGCCTTCTAACTCTCTTAGTAAAGTAGCTCACCATCTCAGAGCCAGACCATATCACCCTAGACTGGAGAAGTTTATCACCACAGACCTTTGTTCCCTGGTCAGGTATAAAACTGCGTGTCTGTGAGCAGTGGTCTTCTATTTACTTATATAACTTATATTGTAATATCATATATAACTACTTATAAAGTTAATCCTACTATCATATTAAATATATCTTCTAACTGTAGAATCATAAGCACAGATGTATCCTGTACTTGCTGCATGCAACTCTAGTATACTTTTATCAGGCATAGCTGCTTCTTTCATAACTCTAAAGCATTTATTAAGCAGTTAAAATCTCTATGATGTTTACAGTTAAAAACAAAGAATATGGCTTAGATTTGAGTTTTATCCTCTGGTTGCTTATAATTTATATAGTAAAATGACATGAAATTATGTTAAAATGATGCATAGATTGCAAAATAAAATTTTGTATGATTAGTTAGATGTTTATGTAAAAATCTTAGCGCTCTCTCTCTCTCTCTCTCTGTCTCTCTCTCTCTCTCAATATATATTAGAAGCCCAGTGCACAAAAATTCATGCACTTGGGGGGTGGGGGGTTGTCCCTCAGCCTGGCCTGAGCCCTCTTTCAGTCTGAGATCCCTTGAGAGATATCCACCTGCCAGCTTAGGCCCACTCCTTGGGGGAATGGGCCTAAGCTGGCAGTCAGACGTCACTCTGGCAGTCCAGGAGCCCTCAGGGGATGTCTGACTGATGGCTTAGGACATCAGGTAGTGGACCTAAGCTGTCAGTTGGACATCCTTAGTGCTGCTAAGGAGGCGGGAGAGGCTTCTGCCACCGCTGTTGCGCTTGCAGCCAGTCAGTCCGGTTTGTGGCTCCTGTGGGAGTGCACTGACCACCAGGGGGCAGCAACTGTGTTGAGTGTCTTCCCCCTGGTAGTCAGTGTGCGTCATAGCAACCAGTCCTAGTAGTTCCATCTTTAGGGTCAATTTGCATTTTACCCTTTTATTATATAGGATTGGTGTATAATAAATTGGAAATTAAAAAAAAAATCAAACCAGTCCTTTCCCAAATAGATGAGCAGCTAGCATCCTTTCCCCCTCCTACTCTGCCTTTCAGTTTTTAAAAGTGAATGGA